TGGCTACGTACACGACCGGTCTGAGGTGGGAAGGAAGGATATCGAGCCCCGGCTTCGCCCAGCACTGCAGCGTGGGGAGAGCCACCCCCCCGCCGCCCCAGCACAGCACCAAGTCAACTCACAGGATCTCCAGGTCGCGCAGGGCTCGGAAGGCTCCATCTTCGATGCAGCTGATCTGGTTGTTGTCCAGTTGCCTGCAGAAAGGAAGGGAGAGGATGAAGGCTGGCCGGTACGGGCAGATCTGCCTCGGAGCGCCAGGTTGGGGGCTTCCCCGTCACCGAGGTGTCCCTCCACCCCCTCGCAGCGCCTGCTCGCCACCCCGGCGCAGGGCTGCTCAGCTGCCACGCTGCTCCGGCTCTGCTCACTGCTGTCTGACAGCGCTGCACGCTACCGCACACTGAAGCCTGTCAGGTCTCAGTAAATATTAATTGCGCCTTTTTTTTTTTTTTTTTTTTTAAAGGCAGAAGGGAGTAATTTCATTACATTAGGGCATCCAATCCATTATGAGCTTTTACCGTCATGTCACTGAAACAATTTCATTAAGCTAAAGGCCTGTAAATCATTGGAGGTCACTGTGCTGCCCTCCGTGACCTCCCAGAATGCCTTTTTTTCTTTTACTGGAAGTTGGAGTCCTCTGTCCTGACAGTACTAAATCTCCAGGCTTTATCTGCCCAAGAGCTGTGAGAGTGCATAGGGAATATACCAATTCCAAATTAGACTCAACTAATCTAATTTTATAGTCTTTTTATTATTCTAAGCACCAAATGTCTGTGGTGGTTCGATGCCTCTCTGCATTGTTACTGGTCCCATCTGGTAGCCCGTTCTATTGAAAGATTTCTGACTAAATACAGATTCTCTCTAACTGCATCAGGGAGGGCAATCCAGTGACAGAAAGCATTATACACACATACACTTAAAACACTATTTTGCTTCAAAATGTGTAATTTAATATTTGGATGGTGGAGTTCTCTCATTTGTCTCCCTGCATACGCATGATTTAAATGTATTTTACGATATATGTGGATACAGCAGTACAGCTACATCTGTCTCTTTTGCGTAGAAAATTAAAGTTGTAAGTTGTAATTTAAAATTCAGTGATTATATTTTTGGACATCCGATCTGTTAAATTTTACACCTAGAGAAATAAAATTATGTATCTACCCACATGTAAATACAATGTCTGCATTTCATAAAAAAAATAGATGCAGGCTCCCGACTCTATGTTATACTGTCCTTTGCACAGCACAAACTTCAGATTTGGTGAGGCAGGGACCATTTGTCCTGTGTAAGTAAAGTATCATGAACAAAGACACCAAGATTGCATTGCAGTTTCTGGTTGCTATTAAAAACAATAAATATATACACAGAGAAAGCAAAAATATTACACCCCTGTATTATATATCTGCATACTTTTACCAACTTCTTTCCAATTATTTGCCATACCTAATTTTTGGTCTAAATAGACATTTGTCACAACTTTCTTATTATATAGCAATAAAGCACAGACAGAGCAAATATTAATCTTTACGCACCCCTTTAAAGATTGAGTTTGATCCACTAATATAGAGCATCTTGAATATGTATATATTTGAAGACTATGGGAAATTTATCCTCTATAGCGTAGTCTGGTCTTGATGAATATCATGCTTTTTATGATTTAAAGTGCATGAAAAACCATATGTACTATAAGGTCTACTAAAAAGCTTAGCAAGCATAAATCCCAGCTCAGGTTTCTCATAGCTCTCATAACTTTGGAGAATGTGCTGAATTTGGCAAAACTTCAGCGACGTCTCCTATACTGACAGATACAGGGATGTACAATCATCCAAATAGATTTTTCTGTAGCATGAGCGTTCACGCGTAGTATATATACTTATGTATATAAGTATATACATACATATTTATTTATGTTCTCTCAGTTTCTCCCACCACCTAGCAAAGATGCTAAAAACTATATATTTTTAACTGCTGGGAGGACCAGTGGCTGCAGAGTGGCTTTTTCCGAGATCCCTGTTTAATTGTGTGGGTTATTAAAAATTTGTTGCTCAAACAGAAAGGATGGTGCCTTGCAGGAGGGATAAACTTCAAATGAGTTAAATATAATGCTGGTTGCATGACTAAGTACTTTACACTTCAGTTGGCTTTATTAAGCATAAAGTTGGCATGATGAAGAGAGAGCAGGCGCAACTTCAGAATCACCTCTCTCTTTTTTTCTATGGGAAGTACCATATATTGCCTATTTTTATTTGAGTTATGCTATAATATTGATTTGTCTGCCAAATACACTAAAATAAGCAAATAAACCCAGTGTGCTAGTCACAAAGTCTTCTGGTTAAAGGGCTTCATATGCTGTGTATTTTTTTTTACATGCTACTCTCACAGATTGATTTTTGTTGAAAAAGCATAATGACAATCTTAATCATATTTCTATAGGTCCAGTCATGCTAGCGCTAACAACCAAGTTTAGTCCATGTGACTAATCCACAGGACCACAGCAAGGGAAACCTCTAGATGCCCAAAAGACAGGCACTTAGCAGGACAGTCAGTAAACAGGGAAAATATCCGGCAGAGATGCACCCTGACTCTGCGTGCCCCATAAACTAAACCTGCACAGTCTCTGGGAGATATCCACACCTTTAATGCTTCTTTGTAACAGAGCTCACGTCTCCTGATATCTATCATGCCAAAACATTCACAGCTGTGTTTAAGCATGAGAATTTCTTCTCAAAAGGAATAGAACTATTAGTTGTCTTAAAATTAGGCATGACTGTTTTTAAGACCCTTCACCTCCCCATTTATTTCTCTCTGTGCAAAGATGGAAATCCTATTTCTTTGCATCTGTACAGCACCCTGGTGAGTGGTTAAGCAGAGCCTAGAGATTTGAGACGTTAAAGTCTAGATAATGTCTTCCTTCCGAGCCAATGTGTTAGGTTAAAGTTTTGAGAAAACTTCAGGTAAAGCCTTAAAGAAAGGCAAAGCCAGGTGTTCAACACATACTTTTATACCCATGAAGACAAAAAAAAAATCCTGTGATGTGGGCTAGCAGCCAGATCACATACGCAATGTTGGTAAGCTGTGCGTGCAGCTCTTCAACGTGCAGAATAGACACGTCTAACATTTGTTGGAATGAACATCTTACCTGAATAAAACTAATCATATGCAGAGAAAGTAAAAATTCAACTTAAAAAAAAAAAAGAGAGAGAAAAAACCCCCACTATTTCAGAACAGGTGGCACATACATTTCCTTGAGGAACATGCGACACTGTGCTCATTTCTTCACTGCTGCCTTCTGAACAGAGCCCTCGGTCACACTCAGAGCACTGCTACCTGAGGCACAGATCAGCTCCAGGCTTACAGGTAAATTTAAAAAACTGGTCTCAGCCAGCAGAACCATTTATTCAGATTTAAATGCCATCTCTATTTGTCAGTGTTCATACCCTTTCTAGAAGATCTTTTTCTCCTAAATATTACAAACAGGATGATATGCATGTAATGGTGTAATGTAATGGGGAAAAAAGGTCAGACAACACAAACTCAGATTTAAGACACAATTTTAAAATGCACAAAGTCACTTTTTATACCTCCATTTACTCCTGCCTTTTGAAGGAACGCAGCACTAAGCTCAGATTTCATCTAAAACTATTAAGTGATTCAACTGCCTCTGAAGAAAGTAAGGGCTCTCACACAGAAAAAGTGAGCCTCTGTATTTAAGAGAGGCTAAAGGATGAATAAAACCTCAATAACCAAGCTGTGCGAAATAGCCATACAACACTCATGGCATACTGTAAGAGCTACAGCCAAGCCATGAGCAAATGAGCACCGTCAAACTCGGAACTTCCAAGTTTTTGCTAAGTTAGATAGATCTAACTTTTATTTGGGTTAAAGTGTTTGGGTTAAATGCTGAATCTCTCATGTGTTAGACACAATGCTCGGTGACGTTGTCAGAAAGGTTCTTGCTCCAACGTCAGTGAGCTCAGATCCCAGCCCGGGAAACCCAGCAGCTCGTGTGTGATTGAATTACCTACTCTGACCTCACCTAAGAGGCTCCAGGGATCCGAGAGCTCCGTGACAGGCAATTAGCAACCAGACAATACTAACAGATACAAAGAGCAATACCGGAAGATCTCAGAGAAAAACACATGAGCAAGGAAAATATTGAATAGGTGTATGGGATTTAGGTGAAGTCTGACACAGACAAATGCTTATAAACAATGTGAGAATTTATAAAACTATTTGGAGAAAAAGGCATCTTGCATATGGTAGAGCATATGGCATACATAATGCCATAGGTATTATTATAATCTGACTCTAACCATGACTCAAGAGCTAGTCTCAGTTTTTATTAAAAAGCAGGAAAATTATGTGACTAAATTATATGCAACTGATTGATCATTGTCTATCTTTAAAATTGATGTTTTAAAGAAAAGAACTGAGATGCAAATCACCTTTCTATGAAATGAGAAATAACACTGCATCCTAATAGATTTATATCACTGGAATAGTCTGTGCTTCGGCCAAGACCCCGCCTTAACTGTTTAAAACACAATTCCCCTGACAGTGTGTAACTCCGGCTTATCCGTTTAGATTTGTACATTATCTATCATACATGAGAGTTAAATTTCAAATAACATTTGGAAGGAATAGGATTTTACAATGTTGGTATTATTTCGCCATTTGAAATAATCCTTTAAATACCAAGGCTTGGAGGTTTTGCTCACAACAATAAGGAATATTTAAGTTTTCAAATGCATTTGAGAGATAAAAATCCCCAGCAACAAAGCTGATGTAATTTTTATCATGCTACTAAATTTAAGGTTTTAAAGAAACAAAACCACAAAACTCTTCTAAAATATTAAAGAATTGAATTCATTTAGGGTGAAATTTTCCAAAACAGAAATAATCTAATCTTTTACTAACGTTACAACTTAGTTAATGTTTAAAACTCTCCATTTATATTTCTAGCAATGTTTCTTCATATTGTAAGAACTAACCTGATCCCATATATAGGAGCTTTCAATATTTTTTCTGCAATTAGCCATACTCACATTCATGAAGAAGAGGTCCTTCAAGTATCAACATTTCTCAATAGTGAGCTATATAATCAGTGTTTTGTACATTATTTTTTTCAGTGAGGGATTTTTTTTTTTCCATTTACAAACATTACCAAGGCCACTGCAGAGCTCAAGTATTAATCAGGTTTTTCATTATACTGTGACAGTAGTTTAATTACTATAACCTCTTTATATATTTTGTCCAGAATCTAGTTAAATATTTAAATAAAAAGCCTGTATTAACAAGTACTGTAATAAATACTTTTCAGATTTATTTCTCATATTTTACATGTTTAGCATAAAAAGAAGTGTTAGAGTACTTGCATATTTGAGAAAATTCTGCTGTTATAGACAGGAAATTACTACTCTTATAGATATCTACTGTTACAGATCCGCAAGTAAGCAAGAGCTATTTCCTCGTTAATAAGACTTGCATATTTAACCAGAAGTATCCATATGAAAAGTATTGT